GCGCTGTTGCTTTGAGCACGTGTGACGCCTTGAGCTCACGCTTGCGACCCAAATAGTGGAGAAATTCCGCGGGGGGGGGACATTACAGCGCAGGGAAACGACCAATCAGCGTGGGGCAGAATGTTCAAGGACGCTCATCGCAGGCCATTGGCAGGACTATTCCAGAACGGCCACAACCCCGCAAATAAGCTCGAGTTTACGAGTCAGAAAACCCGCTGTTTTTATTGGCCTTGAATACAGTCATTGGTCTCCGAAACCGGTTCGCTTGTCTTTTTCCACCTACCTTTCGGGGCATAACACTGTGAGAGAGTATAGGGGTCTAAGTAGCGGTGGTGCCTAGATCACTACAATCATCATATCGAATCCCAGGTTGGAAGTTAAAAGACAAGAATCACCACAATGAGGGATTAATTGTATACAGAACTCCCAGTTGCAGTCTCGGGTGGCAGTTGTCACTGGCGAAGCCAGGGCTGGACCTGACTGCGTCCAGCCAGGCCTGAGAGTGTCGACTGTGTGTTCTATGGGGTGATGACAGTTGCTTAAGTAGCAAGTTCAAGTGTTGTGTTATTAGTGTGATTCAATTGCCCAAACGGATATCGTCTGTAGAATTCTTTTTGCTGCATCGGCCGAGGGGTGGTGTATTCAAGTGGCACTTAAACAGGCGTGCTTTTTGGATGCACGTGTACACGCGGGCGTGTGCGCACGTGTGTACGGACTGAGCAAGCTGAGGTCAACCTTCAGGTCCGCCGGCACGCTGAAGAACAGGGGACTTTGACGCAGTTGTTATCGGTAAGCCAGAAGCAGCTGCGAGGTCAAGCCTCGGGGGACGGGGACACCAGTGAAAGAAAGCATTGTAACAGTTGTTTGTGACGACACACCTTTGGGGCAGCAAGCCTTTTACAACGAGGGGGCAAATAGCCATTGTGGCTGTTCGCCACAAGCGTTCGAATTCAATTAACCAGCCAAACAGCTCCTGTCAAATGAGTTTCAGAAATACTCCTAAATGGGCCAGGAATGTAAAACATTTGGCCACTTTATCGTCTTGATTTGAGGAAGTATACTCTTCTTCGGTGAGGCTGTTAGCAAGAAATGCAAGCGGAAGAATCGTTGCATATGGGCAGTATACCACCCTACGTAATGGAAATTAGTCGGTAAAATCATTTCTTCCGAGCAGTTAGTTTCACGCCAATCCTCTAAACACGGACTAATGTTTGATAAAAACGTTCAAAAATCGATAAAGGCTATCGATAAAAACAGACGTAGTCATTCCGGCTGGTTTTTATTTACCCGGCAGCACTCCGCAACTAAAAGCTCCCTAGGGCTTGAACCGAACTCTGCGGACAGTTGGTCGAGCTGCCCAAACTTCTGGAAAAGACACGATGATTCAGGTTTTGCCTGATTTTCTGAGCTAGATCTCAGGCAGCAGATTACATCGGTACTTGTACAGCTGTGGTAACGCCAGGTCTAGCCTGCATCGGCTTTGGACAGCTGGAGGCCGGTTAGTGAAGGCCTAAGAGCCACTCTTTTGTCTTGAAGAACTACATTAAGCCAGGCGTTTCGTTGAGCCACTTATCGACGTCTCTGGTTTGATAATGGCGCTGGGTCAAGAG